CGGGCCTCCCCTGCCAGTGGATGGGGGGTTTCTTGTCGCCTAAGCTGCTGCCCGGGCACTGGGCTCCCAAGGAGACGCCTGCCTTGGCTGGCACCGTTGTTACGCTAAGCGGGGGGCGGGGCCAGTGCGTGGCACAGGCGCCACGTGAGGGGAGGGGCTCGGCGGGTCGCCCCCTGGGGGAAGCGCGGTTGTTCTGCCCAGAACAAAGGCTCCACACTCCTTCATGGAGAATGTTTATTGTACCAAAATAAGAGGTGTTTGTCTTGTCACTCTACATAATGATCAGAACCAGGGCCTGTCTGCTCGCCCCCTCTCCTCAGCCCCCGACGCGCGCTGCCCCAGCCCCTTCCATAGCAATACCCTGGGCTGCATGGGGTGGAGAGGCCCCTGCGCACCGTCCTTCTCCCCCGACTGCCGGGCTGGCGCCACGCCCAACGGATGCTGCGGTAAAAGGCACTGAGCTGCCCTTGTGATTAGTGCCCAATAAAGCACCAAATCGTTAGTTCTTCAGCCTCTGGCTCCTGCTTACGTCACCCCTGCTGGAGTTTGTTCTCTGACTCCCAGGTGCTGGCACTGAGTGCACCTGCTGGTTAGGTATCACCAGCAATAGGCTGGGGTCAGGAGGCCCCACTACCCTTCCAGCTGGTCTTGTCATTCACAAACCAACTCCCAGTGGCCCTACCTCCCCCCCAGGGATGCTCCCCCTGTGCACTGCACACAGGGGCTTCCATCACAGAACGGGTGGCTAAAGGAGAGCTACCCTGCCCCTGGCTCCTTCCCTGGGGGCTGCACAGCATCCACCTAACCTCCCGCCCCCACTGCCCCTTCACATCAACACTGACGTTAAATCAAAGAGACATTTAAAAAACACTGACTTCATACATGATGAAGGGCCCCACAGACCACGGCCCCCTCCAGAAACACCCCGCGAACACGCAATCTGTTGGAGGGGGATGAACAGGACATGCTGAGTCAGCACCTTGCCAACACGCTCAGAACACGGTACACTTCTTGCCAGGCTTCTTCACAGGCGGGGGGCAGAGCACGGCCCGGATGGCTTCGTCAAACACCGTCTTCAGCCCCCGCTGGGTCAGGGCCGAGCACTCCAGGTACTTCACTGAGCCTGGGGGGAGAGACATCTCGCACCAAACCGCCCACGGCCTGGCTGAGGCTGCAAACTCTGGAGAAGGGACTGCCCTTTTGTTCCCCATTTCTACAGGGCCTAGCACAATAGCGTCCTAGGCCACAGCGAGGGGTCCCGGGTGCTAGGATAACCACAAGCCAGGCCCAGAAAGGGGCGCTGGCTCTTGCCGCAGTAGGTGCCCAAGACTTACCAATCTCCCGTGCCATGGCCAGGCCCTGGGGGTAGGTGATGGGGGCCAGTTTCTTATCACGCAGCCTTTCAATGGTGTCCTTGTCGTCCCTCAAGTCCAGCTTGGTGCCCACCAGGATGATGGGAGTATTTGGGCAGTGGTGCCGGACCTCTGGGTACCACTACAACAGAGACGTGCACTGAGCTCCGGCAGGGGCGGGCAGCCTCATTCACCAATTGCTCGTTTAGTAGGTTCAGACAGCACCCCAAGGCATCTAAAATACTAGCAAGAGTCCGTGCGAAGGACCATTTATGTGCAGCTACAAAAAGGAGTTAAAGCAAGTGGGGAAACTGAGGCATAGAGCAGGAAAGCTGCACAGCAAGTCTTATAGACTTTAAGGTCAGAAGGGACCATTATGATCATCTAGTTTGACCCCCTGCAGAATCTCACCCACCCACTCCTAGAATAACCCTCTCCCCTATATCTCAGATATTGAAGCCTTCAAATAGTTTAAAGACCCCAAGATGCAGAGAATCCTCCAGCTGTGATCTGTGCCCCATGCTACAGAGGAAGGTGAAAAACCTCCAGGGCCTCTGCCAATCTACCTTGGAGGAAAATCCCTTCCTGACCCCAGATATGGCGATCAGCTAAACCCTGAGCATGTGGGCAAGACTCACCAGCCAGACACCCAGGAAAAGTTCTCTATAGAAACTCCTATCATCCCTCCACTGGCCTATTCCCACTGATAATGAATGGTCAATTAGTTACCAAGATCATGTTATCTCATCAAACCATCCCCTTCATAAACTCATCTAGCTTACTCTTGAAGCCAAATAGATCTTTTGCCCCCACTACTTCCCTTGGAAGGCCGTTCCAGAACCTCACTCCTCTAACGGTTAGAAACCTTCGTCTAATTTCAAGTCTAAACTTTCTACTAGCCAGCTTATATCCATTTGTTCTTGTGTCCACATTGGTATTGAGCTTAAATAATTCCTCTCCCTCCCTGGTATTTATCCCTCTAATATATTTAAAGAGAGCAATCATGTCCCCCCTCAGCCTTCGTTTGGTTAAGGTAAACAAGCCAAGCTCCTTGAGTCTCCTTTCATAAGACAAAATGCAGGACAATGTAGCACTTTAAAGACTAACAAGATGGTTTATTAGATGATGAGCTTTCGTGCTTCAACTACCCCAGACTAACATGGCTACATTTCTATCACTATTCATAAGACAGGTTTTCATTCCTCGGATCATCCTAGTGGCCCTTCTTTGTACCTGTTCCTGTTTGAATTCATCCTTCTTAAACATGGGAGACCAGAACTGCACACAGTATTCCAAATGGGGTCTCACCAATGCCTTGTATAATGGCACTAACACCTCCTTATCCCTACTGGAAATACCTCGCCTAATACATCCCAAGATCGTATTAGCCTTTTTCACGGCCATGTCACAATGGCGCCTCATAGTCATTCTATAATCAACCAGGACTCCGAGGTCCTTCTCCTCCTCCGTTACTTCCAACGGATGTGTCCCCAGCTTATAACTAACATTCTTGTTATTAATCCCTAAATGCGTAACCTTACACTTCTCACTATTAAATTTCATCCTATTGCTATCACTCCAATTTACAAGGTCATCCAGATCTTCCTGTATGATATCCCGATCCTTTTCTGAATTGGCAATACCTCCCAGCTTTCTGTCATCCGCAGATTTTATCAGGACACTCCCACTTTTGGTGCCAAGGTCAGTAATAAAAAGATTAAATAAAATTGGCCCCAAAACTGATCCCTGAGGAACTCCGCTAGTAACCTTCCTCCAACCTGACAGTTCACCTTTCAGTATGACCCGCTGTAGTCTCCCCTTTAACCAGTTGCTTATCCACCTCTCAATTTTCATATTGATCCCCATCTTTTCCAATTTAACCAATAATTCCCCATGTGGTACTGTATCAAATGCCTTACTGAAATCGAGGTAGATTAGATCCACTGAATTTCCTTTATCTAAAAAATCTGTTACTTTCTCAAAAAAGGGGATCAGGTTGGTTTGGCAAGATCTACCTTTTGTAAAACCATGTTGTAATTTGTCCCAATTGCCATTAGCCTCAATGTCCCTAACAACTTTCTCCTTCAAAATTTTTTCCAAGATCTTGCATACTACAGATGTCAAACTAACAGTCCTGTAGTTACCCGGATTGCTTTTTTTCCCTTTCTTAAAAATAGGAACTATATTAGCAATTCTCCAGTCAAATGGTACAACCCCTGAGTTTAGAGATTTATTCAAAATTTTTGCTAATGGACTTGCAATTTCATGTGCCAGTTCCTTTAATATTCTTGGATAAAGATTATCTGGGCCCCCCGATTTACTCCCATTAAACTGTTCGAGTTTGGCTTTTACCTCGGATATGGTAATATCTACCTCCTTATCCTTATTCCCATTTGTTATGTTACCCTTATCCGTAAGCTCTTCACTAGCCTCATTAAAGACTGAAGCAAAGTATTTGCTTAGATATTGGCTCATGCCTAGATTATCTTTAACCTCCACTCCATCCTCAGTAATTAGTGGTCCCACTTTTTTTTTCCTATGTATATGGCTATAAAACCTTTTGCTATTGGTTTTAATTCCCTCTACATGACTTTAAGCCTTTCTCACTTTGTCCCTACATGCTCTAACCTCAATAAAGTAGCTTTCTTTGCTGGTCCCTCCCATCTTCCACTCCTTATATGCTTTCTGCTTTTTCTTAATCACCTCTCTGAGATGCTTGCTCATCCAGCTTGGTCTAAAACACCTGCCTATATTTTTTCCCCCTTTCTTGGGATACAGGCTTCTGATAGCTTCTGCAACTTTAACTTAAAATATTCCCAGGCCTCCTCTGCCTTTAGATCCATAAATTCTTTAGTCCAATCGACTTCCCTAACAAATTTCCTTAATTTATTAAAGTTAGCCCTTTTGAAATAAAAAACTCTAGTCTCGGATTTATTTTTATCGGGGACACAGCTGGGGATACTACGCCTCCCTTTGCCCCATGTTTGCTTCTAGCCTTATCTAAAGCTCAGCTTTCAGAAGGCAGGGACAGCCAAAGGAAGAGCAACCCTTCCACCATGCTGCAGCTGCCTCCACTCCTCTGCCTTTCATAGGAGGGTTGAGGGATTTCAGGCTTGTCTCCAAAGGGCAGCCACTGTGGCTTACACACAGCCAGCTCTGCTGGCCCTGGGCTCCCTACACTGTCTCAGTGCTGTGAGAGAGAAGATGAGAGTGTACAGCAGGGGTTGGTCTGTCTCTCATGGGGGGCAGGGATCGGGCTGTTCCTCCCCCTCCCCAAAAAGGAAGAAAGCGAGTTACCTTGGCTCGGACATTCTCAAACGAGGCCGGACTCACCAGGGAGAAGCAGATCAAGAAGACGTCCTGTGAGGGGACAGGAGATCAGTCCCTGGGAAAGGATCCAACAGCAATGGCCAAGCATGGATGGGGGCATCAGGCAGGGAGGGTTGGGTGGGGGGGAAATCCTTCCATTGAAAGACCAAATGCAAATGACAGTTGTGTGGGGGCAGGTCCTCAGCTACACGCATGAGCAGCCTCCAAGGCCCCCAGACAAACTGCAGGCTTTTGCCATTCAAACCGGCCCCCAAAAGCACTTGGAGGGGCTGCGGGGCCGCATCTGTTCTCACCCCACAGCACCTCCCGGGGCAGCTCCAGTGATGCAAACAAACTCCCAGCTTCAAAACCTGGGACCCTGCCAAAGAGGCAAAGGGCTGGACCCAGAGACCACGCTGCCCAGGTGCAGAACGAGCCCAGCCCACGCACCGTCTGAGGGTAGGAGAGGGGCCGCAGCCGGTCGTAGTCTTCTTGCCCCCGCATCTGTTCTCACCCCACAGCACCTCCCGGGGCAGCTCCAGTGATGCAAACAAACTCCCAGCTTCAAAACCTGGGACCCTGCCAAAGAGGCAAAGGGCTGGACCCAGAGACCACGCTGCCCAGGTGCAGAACGAGCCCAGCCCACGCACCGTCTGAGGGTAGGAGAGGGGCCGCAGCCGGTCGTAGTCTTCTTGCCCTGCTGTATCCCAGAGACCCAGGTTCACTGGCTTTCTGTCAACCTGCCACAGAAAGAATCCCTGTGAGTGACAAGAAGGGAACCGCAACGGGCACAGGCCCAGGGCGAGGCAGAAGGGAACCATCCGGCATTTATCTGCAATGAAAGAGGTGCTGGGACTCAAGCCATGCTTTTACATTTATAACTGATGCTGCCAGGCCCCGAGGTCAGTCCTGGCACAGATAAGCACTGGGATCGTCACCAGGGATGGTGGAGTGTAACCGATTCTCCAGTTAACCAATCGGTTAACCAGTTAACTGGTGCTTGTCGGTTACACTCTGCCTGGCTCTCAGGGAAGTGGGGCCAGCAGGGGCTTCACCGTGGGCTCTGCAGTTTCACAGAATCACAGAACAAGAACTGGGAGGGCCCTCGAGAGTTGAGTCCAGTCCCCTGCTCTCACGGCAGGACCCAGCACCGTCTCGATCATCCCTGACCGATGTCTGGTAACCTGCTCTTAAATGTCTCCAGAGATGGGGACTCCACAACCTCCCTGGGCAATGTATTCCAGTGTTTAGCCACCCTGACAGGCAGGAACTTTTTCCTAATGTCCAACCTAAACCTCCCTTGCTGCAGTTTAAGCCCATTGCTGCTTGTCCTGTCCTCAGAGGCCAAGGAGAACAAGTTTTCTTTCTCCTCCTTGTGAGCCCCTTTTAGATACCTGACAACCGCCATCATGTCCCTTCTCAGGCTTCTTTTTTCTAAACTAAACAATCCCCATTCCTTGAGCCTTCCCTCACAGCTCATGTTCTCCAGACCTTTCATCATTCTTGTTGCTCTTCTCTGGACCTTCTCCAATTTCTCCACATCTTTCCTGAAATGTGGTGCCCAGAACTGGACACAATACTCCTGTTGAGGCCTAACCAGCGCAGAGTAGAGCGGCAGAATGACTTCTCTTGCTCACAACACTCCTGCTAATGCCGCCCTTACTTAAAGCTTCTTTAAAGCTTTACACTGCAGAGCCCACAGCATGTGACCGCTAAGATTTTAACCAACTTTTCACATCCCTAATTGTCACATGATCACAATCTCCCCTCATGCTGGGCCAGCAGCCCGGTGGATACTCACACGGTGGGGATATACTCTCCAGGGAAGGCATTCGTGGTGTAGCTGATCAGCAGGCAGGTCTTCCCCACAGCCCTGCAGAAAGGGAAAGGGCAGAGCATGACGTGGCGGGATGGCAAGCAGCAAGCTGGAGGGCCAGTGAAGAGGCAGAGCTGTGCAGCCTACTCTCCAGCACGCGAGGGGGTGGGACCAGACCTGAACACGCTCCATGCTGTGTCCAATGTTCCCACTAATCTTTTCCATCTGTGTATGGTATGAATTTTTCTATGTGCACCAAGGCATGTGCTTGTGTACCACACATGCTGCATGCTTGCGGGTGCTCTGCTAATCAGCTGGAGGGCACTGGAGTCTCTCCTGAGCAGCCGCACAAGAGCGCAGCTCAGGGGACGCTGCTGTGACCCAAGCACACACCTGACCATGCTCGAAGAGAGCCATTCCTGAGTTGCGCTGCACATTCAAAGGCTGCTCCCCCCTCAGTGTGATAACTGGCATAACCGGCACCAAGGCCCTAGCCAGGATGGGGCTTTCAGACACACAACAGCCTCTCTCTGCCCTCCTAGGTGCAACTTGTCCTTGTTCCACTTCTACGGGCCGCGTTTCTGAGGAGTTGAGGCAGAGGTGCTGGCACAATGTGTACACTGAGGTGCTGAGAGCCACTCAACCAAACGGGAAACCCTGACTGTTAGAGACCACGTCAAGCCAGGGGCGCGGCAGCACGCCCCACGCTCCAGGCCTAAGCGTCCACGGAATCCCTCTCTCGTCCCACTCAGTGATTTGACACTGAAGCAGAACGGTTCTCTCCATCAGAGGGATGAAATAATCGGCAGATCAGACCAAGCATGGAACAGAGTCAGGAGACCTGGTTGTCTTGGCTTTGCCTCTACCTGCTGTGGGCAAGTCATATCACCTCTCGGCCAGTTCCCTGCCTGCTCACTGTGTATCTTGTCTATTTAGACTGTCGGCTCTCTAGGCACAGCTTCCCACCTCGTATATATTTGCACAGTGGTTGACGCCCCTGGGAGTCAACGTACTGCAAGGCCCAACAAAAAGATGCCAGCCCCATCCATCGCCCCCAGTGACCAGTAGCAGCTGCTTTGAAGGAAGGTGCTATGTTTTTATCATCTTTAGAGCCCTGCATAGATACAAAATTGGTATCTGCATCCGTATCACCAAAAATGAGCCACGGACACAAAGCAGAGGTGCGCAGATTTGCTGGGGTCTAGATACAAAGTTTGTATCCGTATCAGGAAAAGGAGCCATGGATCTAAAGCAGAGATGCGCAGGGCTCTAGTTATCTTCACCACTGGCTGTTGGGACGTAGGGACATGAAGTAAAGGACAGTCCCAAGAGCTCCTTTTTACAGATCCTCATCCCAATGCCTAGAATTGGGTGCCCAGATGCTCTTTTTCAGGCCTGACTAGCGTTTTGCTCACCCCAGGGGCTGGGTGGGTGTCCAATGGACAACACAAGGGTAAGGTAGGGGGGATGGTGAGAGATATGGAGATGGCCCCAGGGTAAGCCGGGATGGTGGGGAGAGAGCCCAACAGGGTCTGTAGGCCCCAGGGTGAGCTATGGGTAGGGCAGGACAGGCTGGGTGGCTCCCGTGGGATGCCCTAGAGGAGGGAGATGTTTGCTGGAACGGGATAAGGAGATGAGACAGGTGGGTAGCAGAAGGGTCCCTGACTTTTCCTTTCATCTGCCATTGTGATGTAACCACTTCCTAAGGCTGCATCAGAATGGGGGATGATCAGTCTGCGTAGTTGGGGAGACACCACAGCAAGGGGGAGAGACAGAACTGGGGGGCACTGCTGAGGTAGAGGAGGGAGATGTTTGCTGGAACGGGATAAGGAGATGAGACAGGTGGGTAGCAGAAGGGTCCCTGACTTTTCCTTTCATCTGCCATTGTGATGTAACCACTTCCTAAGGCTGCATCAGAATGGGGGATGATCAGTCTGCGTAGTTGGGGAGACACCACAGCAAGGGGGAGAGACAGAACTGGGGGGCACTGCTGAGGGGGGAGATACA